CGTATCAACAATTTTAATGCTGACAACTCACAATGTATAGATGTAGTTGAACTAGTATGACCAGTTGTACTGGTACTGATAGGACTCGCTGTACTACTGGTTGAACTGGTCATACTGGTAATACTGGTTATACTACTAGTGAACTCCATTGAAGAATAAGGAAATGAAGATGAAGATGAAAAAACTACAAGAGAGAGAGGGAGAGAGAAAGAGAAGGGTAATATGTACAGAATGGTGGTGACTGCTTACTTGGTACAGTAAAAGTTGTATTATATAAATTATTGTTAATTCCAATGTCATTAAAAGCTCCTATGGTCAAGTATAGTTCATAATCACCACTTCCTCCAAGTAATTCTAATAGTTGAGCATATTGTGTCACTATTAGTCCATTAAGTGATCTTGTGGCATTAACAATAGGCGAGCCAAATGAGACTGTGTTACCATAGTTACTGTTGCTATAGTTACTTGTTATATTAAACGTAAGACCAGAAGCAGGAGCAGATCCATTATCAGTGACTGAAGCATCAATTAATAAATTATTATTATTAATTGAAATATTGACCTCATTAATAACTACTGATGGAGGACCTAAGGTAATGAATAAATTAATTTTAAAAATATCTTTAACATCACTCCTAAATGTAATTCTGATACATATTGATGTCTTTATGCTATATAAAAAGTTTGAGCTGATTCCAATTTCAATTTTTCAAGTTATAGCCATTATTATAAAAATGCCAAAAATACCCAAGGCTATAGCCCATGGTTTTTTCCACAAAAATGGCTCCAAAATCACCCCTAATTTTTATTACATTTTCTGATACATATTGATGTACTTATGCTGTGTAGAAAGTTTGAGCCGATTCCGAGTTCAAATTTCTGAGTTACAGCCATTTTTTAAAATGAGCCGATTTCTGAAAATTTCCCTGTACTATAGCCCATGGTTTTTTCCGAAAAATGGCTCCAAAATCACCCCCAAATTTTATTACATTTTCTGATACATATTGATGTACTTATACTGTGTAGAAAGTCTGAGCTGATTCCGAGCTCAAATTTCTGAGTTATGGCTAGTCAAAGTTTGGCTTTAGTCACCATTCAACCATTAAAAAATTTGGCCCCAAAAACTCCCATTACTATACTACTGCCATACCTCCAATAAAAATCCAATATGTTACACTAGTGGTATTGTACTCCCCAGCTGCTGTACAAGTGTAGTTCCCCCCATTATCAATAGTAGCATTTGTTACAATAAACTGACCAGACGACTCATCAATAGTAACTATTGTATTATTACTGTTCGGACCAGCTGCTGTTGAATAGTTCAACGAGAGATTATAATAATTGGGATTAGCCAATATCACTTGGCACTCAATAGTAACGCTAGAACCAATA